TTTTCTAAAGCTATTTATATTCTATATACTACTACTAGCTTAAGGCGGGATGCCTATATTACTATAGAATAGTCTAGAGGGGGTTGCCTATAGGGCCTTCCTTATATCCTATAGCTACTATATATAGCCCTAGCCCTACTATATATATACTAGGGGTAGGGATTACTAGCTATCTTAATGGCTATTTAACTATTACTATCCTTACTATCTATTATAAGACTAGCTATAAATATTATATAGCCTAGATAGGTACTATACTACCTAATCTAAACGTGGTATATAAGGTGTGTTATTCTACTTCTACCTTATAAGATTTCTTATTATATCCTATTATTCTTATAATACTATTATAAGCTATAAAGCTATAGTATTTAGTACTAGTAGTAGTAGTAGGCTATAGATTATTAGGTTAAGAGAGTTATATACTATTTAAAGCTATACCTACTAGCCTAATTTATAAGCTTATATATTTCTTAATACTTATAGGGTATATATTTCTATACTATAGCTATTATATATATTTATTAGAGTATATTAGGCCTTTACTAGGTCTTTAGTAGCTTTTACTATTAGCTTCTATTATCTTTTAATAAGACTAATATAGATATCCTCTATAGATGTGTTATAAAGTAGTTACTAGTCTACTATAGTAAGGTAGCTATTATACTATTAGGTAGCTTTACTATATAAATAGGTTACCTAAATATTCTTAACTTACTACTTACTATAGCTAATAATATACTACTTAAGTTAGTCTATAAATATATAAATATAAATAAATATTAGATTCTTAGTAGCTTTTATAATTTAACTAGTCCTTTATTTATTCTAGTATTAAAGGTTTAGATTAAAGAATTTAATATTATTTTTATAAAGCTTAGCTAGCTTAAGCTTACTAGCTATTACTATTACTACTATAGATACTACTAGCGTCTCCTTATAGTAATATACTAGGGTTAGTTCTATAATAGCTACTATCTATACTAAGGCTACTAGGGAGAGTATACTAATATCCTATAGTAGGGGATTACTAGGAGGGGGTATACTTTCTATCTAGCTTACTTAATAGCTTACTTAATAGCTTATTTAATAGCTTACTTAATAGCTATTTATTTACTAGTTTATTTAATAGCTTACTTAATAGCTTATTTAATAGCTATCTAAGTATAATAAGCTAATCTCTCTAAGCTAGGTAATAAAGTTTAGGAAGGAGGCTAATAATAAGGTTAAATAGAGAGGGGTTTAGGTCTATATTAGGAAGGGGGTCTATATTAAGAAGGTGCCTAGTAGGCTAAATATATATACTAGGCTTTCTTCCTCTTCCTAGCTTTCCTACCCTCCTAATAAGCTAATAACTTAGGTCTATATCTCCTATCCTCCTACTTCCTACCTTTTTTATATATCTTACTATATTTATTCTCCTTCTTAATATAGCTTAGGTCTTATTAGGGATAGCTCTATATAGGCTTAGTAGATAAGCTACTTTATAGGGATTATACAGTTTCTTATAGGTATATATATATTTATATAAGTTCTCTAGGCTCTTAGAATAGTATATATTATACTTAAGTTAAGGGGAGTCTCTTCTTACTTATCTATCTAGTCTTATATATATATAGTATAGGCTAGCTAGCTTATAATATAGGCTAAATAACCTTTATCTATTTCTATATATAGTAGCTTAGTATTAATATACTACTTAGCCTATTAGAGCTAGTATATTTTAGCTAGTATTTAAGTTAACTAGCTTAGCTAGATTTACTCTTATAATACTAGTATTAAGGGGGGGATGTGGTTTAGATATAGTTTAGATTAAATTAAGGGGGGGGGGGGGGTATAGTCTAGTGTATTAGCTATAGCTAATTATAGGTGTAGAAGAGAAAAAAAGAAAAAAGAAAATAAATATTACTATTAATAAAAGCTTTAAATTTAATAAAATTTAATAGTCTCTAATAATCCTACCTATATTACTACTATTTTATTAGGCATAAGAGTTTTAGCAAGATAATGATAATATATTCTCTAGCTCCTTAGTGGGTGGCTTATAGCCCTAAGTGGTGCTGTGCACGTGACAGTCAGGTTGACTTGATTCCTATTCATGGTGTTATTCTTGATTATCCTATGATTCTTTGTGGCCCCCAGCCTTGAATGTTCTATTAGACTCGCAAGGCTCTCGCCACTTAGGCGTAGTACGAATAACTTTATCAATAACGAGGGCAAGGGAAAGTCTCCATCTAGGTCCGATATCTGCCTTTCCCCTCACCCAACAGTTTCATCGGCATCAGTCAGGATACTTCAAGTTTTGCCACTTGTCCGCAAACTCTGCATCGGTCATGGTCCCCTTGTGGCGTTTGAAAAAATCAGCAATCATTTCCTCCCGCTCCGGCCCTGTAATATTGTAATCGTCTCCGTTCTCGAGCCCGATGGTGTTGCAGGGTGTAGAGGTGATGGTAAGGGACTGGAAAGCAGCAGCCTGTTCTGGTGTGACGGGTATTTTCTGTGCAGTCGGCATAGTATAGTGTATGGGTTGGTAGACTTTTTCTGAGAGGGCGGGTAAATCAGGTGTTGAATCGCACCATGAAATGTCTGTAGGAGCTAATATGTAGAGTGGATTGCTACCTATTTAACGTCGATGTACTCTTCCACTAACGTTACACTAACGTCGGACACCCGCTGTTGAAGCCGGGCGTCTTGGGGGAGCTGGAACGGTTAATGTAACTTTGACAAGTATTTTATTTTTATTTTTTATAGTTCTATAAAATGAATCCATCTCATAAACAATTATTCAAGTAAGACTCATTGATATACACATTACGTTTTGCTGTATTTTGCATTCACATTTATTGAGTAAGCTTGTATAATAAATTCTGAGAAGTCTAGCAGCGCTAACTTTAGTACCTATACAAATTATACTAATACCCTTGTCTACCCGCAGCCCGGATGAACCTCGATGGGTCTGCACAACCTTCTTGCCTTCGAAGCTTGTCAACACTCAATTCTAAACGTGCTGTCGCGGCGTCTTCTGCCCGCGCTGTCTCCTGCATTACGATAAGACGCTCTTTGGCGGCCGTCTATCGGAGGCGTCGCGCGACTACACCGTTCATATCATGGCTGCGGGGAAAGTCAAGGATTACTTCCACAACGTCTATCAGCCGGGCGAGCGTGTGCTGATTCAGAAAATCGACTTTTTCATCCTCACGTTTTGTTGCCTCAGCTATTTTGTCAATTATGTACGTCTCTGCGACGTAACCTCGAACTGACCCCAACGCCAGGGTATTCCATACTGATGTGTTTCGCAGCTAGACCGCAGCAATTTAAACAATGCCTACGTCTCTGGTATGAAGGATGATCTGGGCTTTGTTGGTGATCAGCTCACGCAAATAAATACATGTTTTACAGTTGGGTAAGCGACCACCCCTCCCAGACGACAAAAACACAGCTACCAACCCCCGCCAGTTACGTTGTCGGACAAATTCCTTCCAACCTGTCGCTGCACTATGTCAAGCCGCGCATCTGGTTTCCCCTCATGATGGTGCTCTGGGGCGGGCTCACCATGGTGACGGCCTCAGCGCGCAGCCCGCACGCCATCATGGCGATTCGCTTCTTCCAGGGCCTCTGTGAGGCCTCCACCTTTGTCGGCACGCACTACATCCTGGGCGCCTGGTACACGGAGCGCGAGCTCGGCAAGCGCAGCGGCATCTTTACCGCCTCCGGCCTCGCCGGCACCATGGTCGGCGGCTTCATCCAGACGGGGCTCAACCGCGGCCTCGACGGCCGCGGCGGGCTGGCGGGCTGGCGCTGGCTGTTCATCGTCGACGGGCTGATTACGCTGCCCGTCGCGCTCTACGGCTTCGTCTTCTTCCCCGACACGCCGCAGACGACGCGCGCGTTTTACCTTTCCGCGGAGGAGAAGGAGCTGGCGCGGGCGCGCGTGCCCGCGACGGCCGAGGGGCAGTCCCCAATGTCGCTCGCGTTTGCCAAAAAGGTCCTCGGGTCGTGGTACTGGTGGGGGTTCGTGATGCTCTGGGTCATTGCGGGCGAGACCGAGTCGTTTAGCAGCAACGCCCTGCTGGCGCTGTACATGCAGAAGCACCCGGTCAACAAGTACACCAAGGCGCAGCTCAACGACTACCCGACGGGCGTGCCCGCGGTGGGCATCGTGTCGACGCTGTTTTGGGCTACGCTGACAGACCTTTTCGGCGGCAAGCGCTATCTCGTCGGCTACTGGATCGGCATCACGGGTATCGCGACATCTATTATGATTTTGGTCGCTTCAAAGAACCCAACCAGCTCCTCGTCCACCTCGGTTGTTTTTGCTGCGTACTACTGGGCTGGATCTGTCTACGCATGCCAGGCAACTTTTTTTGCATGGTGCAATGACGCTATGAGATATGAACAGTCTGTTTTCCGGGGTGTGGTCTTGGCCGGCATGAATTTAGGAAACAATGCAGTGAATGCGTGGTGGATTCTCATCTTTTACGGCGCATCGCAAGCACCGTGGTTCATTGTGAGTTCAATCTGTACCTTGTCCCTTGAAAAGACTTTCTCATGACTGTTAATGCAGCGCGGTATGTGGGCAATGATTGGATGCTCAATAGCGTTGATTGTTTGGAGCGCTGGACTGTCTTGCATGGCGCGCAAGTACCGTCATCGCCGCCCAGAGGACAGCTCTGAGGTACAGGAGACTATCCCATCCAAAGCGGAAATATGAGCCTGAATATCTTTGGAAAAATATATATTATAAACTCCCACAATTGTATGCTAAATTTTCGAGTCACTCACGGATATGGCGAAATATCCCGACATGGCTCTCCTGAAGCCTCAAAAAATAGGCATACAGCCTAGCCAGAGTCGTCGCAAAAAAAGTTGGATTCTGGGTTTCCACTTTCCGCCTCGGCCGTCTCTTGAACTTTGCAAACGAGTTTCTCCTGTATTCAACTATTCAACACATCGCAATCCAACATGTCGCCGCCCTAGGTTCATGCAGTCCGTCTGATACCATGTCCAGCCTTTTACCGTGGACAGTGTCGGTCGCGCGCCAGCACGGTAGGATCGCGCTGCAGCGATCGCCCACCTCGCAGGCGGCCACCAGATCCATCAGCACAAACAGCGGCGTCGCATCGCGGCAAAAACGGTGCCTCCAGTCCAACCCGCGAACCAAATGGTCGTCCATTGGCCCTATCCGATGCGGCCTGGTGGTGGCGCGCCTCAATGCTGCGCCGTGCGCCGTCGCCGGGCTGTCGAGATCCTTTAGCACCTCGCCAGACGCTGCGAAAAAGGAGAGCGACGAAAAGGCTGCCACAAAAGGCATCACCGACGGCGATGCGGTTCCGGACAAGTCAAAAGTCCAGACACCTGCTGCTAAGCGAAGCTATGCCGCGCAACTCTCCAAAAACGAGGCCGAGGCGGACAATTCCACCGGCGGTCTCCTGCGCCTCCTGAGCATCGCCCGGCCCGAGGCCAAGCCGCTCGGTGTCGCCACCGTCTTCCTCGCCGTCTCGGCCACCATCACTATGACGATTCCCTACGCCGTCGGCCGCATCATCGACGCCGCGGGTCACGCCGGCATCGTCACCGTTGCCGGCCACTCCTTTACCCTCACCCAGTTCATCCTCGGCATGGGCACCGTGCTCACCATCGGCTCCGCCGCGTCCTTTACGCGCAACATTATGATGCGCATCATTGGCGAGCGCGTCATTGCGCGGCTGCGCTCCCGCCTCTATCGCCGCACCTACACCCAGGATGCCGAGTTCTTCGACGTCAACCCCGTAGGCGACCTGATCTCCCGGCTGGGGTCCGACGTGAACATCGTGGGCGACTCGGTAACGACGAGCGTCACGTATGCGCTGCGCTCCACGTTCAACACCATGGCGGGCATCGCCATCATGCTGTGGACCAGCGCGCAGCTCACGATGCTGATGCTGGTGATTCTGCCGCCCATGGCCGTCGGCTCGCTCATCTACGGACGCTTCGTGGAAAAGATGAGCAAGCGCGTGCAGAAGAATCTCGGCACGCTTACAAAAATTGCAGAGGAGAGACTAGGCAACGTCAAGACGAGCCAGGCCTTTGTCGGGGAGCGGCAGGAGGTGCATCGATATAACCAGCAGATTCGCAAAGTCTTTGCCCTGCGGAAACGCGAGGGCATCGTAACATCCACATTTTACACATCCACGCTATGGGCGGGCAACATTTCGTTCCTCATCATGCTCACAGTCGGAAACGGTTTCATCCAGTCCGGGGCCATGACCACTGGCGACTTGACCGCCTTTGTCATGTACGCCATGTTTGCCGGCACGGGTATGATGGATTTCTTCTACACGTATACAGAAATCATGCGCGGCTCTGGCGCTGCGCAGCGTCTTTTTGAGCTATCGGATAAGAAGCCGCGCATACCTCAGAGCGGCGGCACACGCATCTCCTCCGCGTCCGGCGCTGTCAAATTCACCAACGTGCACTTTGCGTACCCAACCAGGCCAGACGCCAAAATTTTCAACGGGCTTACCTTTGAGGTGCCTTCTGGCAGCAACGCCTGCATCGTCGGTCCCTCTGGGCGCGGCAAGTCAACCATTGGCACGCTCCTCCAGCGCTTCTACGACCCCGTCAGCGGCACCATCACCATTGAAGGGCAGGACATTTCCCAAGTAAGCGTCAAGTCGCTGCGGCGGCGCATCGGCGTCGTCGCGCAGGAGCCCGTGCTCTTCTCCGGCACCATTGCCGAGAACATTGCCTACGGGGTGCCCGGCGCGAGCGAGGACGAGATCCGGCACGCCGCCGCCGTGGCCAACTGCACCTTTATCGACAACCTGCCGCGCGGCCTGGCGACGCAGGTCGGCGCGCGCGGGTCGCAGCTGTCGGGCGGGCAGAAGCAGCGCGTGGCGATTGCGCGCGCGGTGCTGAAGCGGCCGGACATTCTGATCCTCGACGAGGCCACGTCGGCGCTCGACGCCGAGTCGGAGACGCTGGTGAACCAGGCGCTCGGACGGCTGTTTGAGGGCAACATGACGACCATTTCCATTGCGCACCGCCTGTCGACGATTGAAAAGGCCGACCTGCTGATCGTGCTCAACGCCGACGGCGAGGTTGCGGAGACGGGCAACTACAGGACGCTCGAGGCGGACAAGGACAGCGAGTTCAGCCGGCTGATGGAGAACCAGATGCGCTCGCCGCTGGCGAGCACGTCGGCGGATGATGTCGAGGCAATCATGGTCGATGAGGAGGCGGTAGAGGAAGCTGAGAAGAGAGAAGCCTAACAAGCCCCGAATGTCACAACACCGAATTTAAATCTGACCACACCAGAATTACTATGTTATTTTTGTAAAGATATACACCAAGTAGGCTATATATTATGTAAAAGGAAGTAGAAAAAACGTAGCTAGCTAAGAGGAAAACCCTCTTTGTATAATAAAATCACGGCTGGGTCTGCCCGTGCATGAGTGGCAACAGGGTGCAGCCAAGCAACAATGACTAGCAATGTTCATGTCATGAATTGTTTTGCGTTTCGTGGCAAATCAAAGTATATTATCATCGAAAGCTCTTCCAACTTCCAACTGCTTTATATGTGCCAGGGCCGCCTCACGCATTTCCCACGTATTATTTCCACTCCTTGGCCGCATCTTCGGCGACCGAATTCCTCGTCGCTAGGCCGATCCTCAAGCCAGCCTGCTCTTTCCGGGATTGAGGCGAGATGCACGTTGGCGGTTTCCCCTTGGTAGCAAACATGTCGTAACTAAGCGAGGGCCAAAGCTTGCGATACGATCTGACATTTCAACTCCCAAAGGCTCAAATACGATAAGCATGCCGCAGGTTTCCGACATGTCCCTTGCAACAGGAGGCATGCAGGCGGCACGCCACGGTCAACACGGCTATACAGAGCTGAAAATCCAGCCTTCTTCATTACATACAGATGATACTTTACCCCGCTCGCCCCGACCGCTTTGCCTTACGCATCGCAACTTCGCCTGCTCAGTCTCGTGCTGAAGCAGAGATATGCTACGCACTCGTCCACTGCCTTGACAGAAACTTGATTGCTTCCAAGCTTCGCAGAAAAATCGTCCTTCAATATACTGCAGGGGTGCAACTCGTTGCCCTGCTCCTCCTTCCTCCCTAGATATCTGCTCAAATTGCATTCTTCGACCACGCGGCCCAATGTCCGTGTTGAATCCAGCGCATTATACTGTCGCATGGATCGCCCCGCTTGCGATCGAGGCTCGCGCTGCCTTGTTGATACTTGATAACCGGCACAAAGGCAAATTTGCCTTGAGCCGTGGCGATGATTACATCTTTCTGCCGGGTGATGCCTGCGGTCACAACATCATCATTGCGACCCTACCCGATGGCCAGGAATACGGGAACGGTTCCGCAGCTGCAATTGCCAGTCAAGTGAAGAAATTCTTTCCAAACCTCTGGTTTGGCCTGCTCGTTGGCGTAGCCGCGGGTCTCCCAAATTTCTCGCGGCTCCCGCCCCTAGATATCCGTCTGGGAGATGTTCTCGTCGGCTCCCCAGAGGGCGATAGCCCAGCACTCGTTGCTTACGATCTGGGAAAGGAGACAGAGGCACATGGCTTCCAACCACTACATGGTGGACGTATACTGTCTGCTACGGAAACAGTCGTTCGCTCGGCCATTGGCAGCATCAAACTCGAAGCCCCCAACGATGCAGATTTGTTTTTACCATTTTACGAAAATATTAAAAACAAAGAGCACTCAGCCGGCACATTCATCGATCCTGGTCAAAAGAATGATATGTATTATCATGTTAATGACGATGGGGTGGAATATATATTGCAACGAGAACCGAGACCGGCCTCTAGGAGGACTCGGGTCTGGTACGGGCCGCTCGGCTCAGGCGAAAAGCTGATGAAGAATGCACGAAAAAGAAATGAGCTCCGAGACAGGTACAACATCATTGGTCTTGAGATGGAGGCCGCTGGCACTATGAATAGCATCGCCGTGGGCGTCATTCGAGGTGTCTGCGACTATGGGGACGAACACAAGAATAAGGACTGGCAGCCATACGCTGCTGCAATGGCTGCGGCGTATGCTAAAGCTGTGTTGTCACAGATCACACCAGAAGCAGCTATGCAAAGGAAAGAATCGGAGACGCAGAGTGGTCAGTAGATGCTTTTTACCTTCTATTGACCAAATACTTCAGCATCAACTGACTTTGCCCAGGCATTGCGAAGGCCCAAACTAGTGTCCCCGAACGTCTGCTCGAGCAGAGCTCTGGGACTGAAGCGAAATTTCCATCGCCGAGTCATCGTGTTGAAGACCTCAAGATGCAACCTGCACATAGTTTCACCAGAGAACCCGAGATTGGTAAGGTAACGCAACTTTCGGCTGGCATAGAAGACTTCTACTAAATGACTGTACATCACCAGGGACATTAACTAAAGAAGAGGAGGATCGCTTGCTCCACTCACTCGCATTCAAGCAAATCGACAACCGGCGTAATGACATCGAATCCGCATTTGGAAAGACCTGCCAGTGGTTGTTAAAGACGCCTGAGTTTCGGGACTGGCTTGACCCCGAAAAGCTCGGCGAGCATCACGGCTTTTTATGGATTAAAGGAAAACCGGGGGCAGGGAAGTCGACACTTATGAATTTTGCCTTGCAACATTTTCAAGAGGCAAAAAGAAGCGACAACATTCTTTGTTTTTTCTTCCACGCTCGTGGAGATGACCTGGAGAAGTCCACAACCGGAATGTATCGATCACTATTGCTACAAGTCTTTGACAAGATTCCACGGCTTCGACATGTACTCAACTGCTTCCGATTCACGATCAAGGACGGGGGCATCCCGAATTGGACTACTCAGCATTTGAAAACGCTGTTTTCCCGAGTTGTGCAGGACCTCAGACAGTCCCCATTGATGCTTTTCATCGACGCTCTAGACGAGTGCGACGAGGATCAGATTCGGGACATGGTGGAGTATTTCCAAGATATTGCCGAAAAAACCAGGCAGAAGTGTACTATGCCGAGAGTCTGCTTTGCGAGCAGGCACTACCCTCACATCACAATCGAGAAGGGGATCCATTTAGACGTTGGCTCACAAGAGGGACATAATGAAGACATATCGATCTACGTCAAAAGAAAGCTACGCATAGGACAAGATGCATTTGCCCAAAGAATTCAAGCTACACTGATTGAGAAGGCATCCGGGGTGTTTACGTGGGTTGTCTTGGTGGTAAAGATTTTGCAGAAGGTGTATGACGGGGGATACAAACACGAGCTTGAAGGCCGGTTACAGAAAATACCCCAACGCCTGCATGATTTATTCCGCGGCATTTTAACACAAGATGGCACTCGCCAAAAAGAATTACTTTGCTGCATTCAGTGGGTGCTCTTTGCGCGACGCCCCTTGGGTCCCCGCGAATTACGTCAAGCCATTATCTGCGGCGTGGCACCAGATCGGGCGCGTGACTGGCTTTGTGAGAAGATTGAGGAAAATGAAATCAGGCGTTTCATTATCGATTGTTCAAAAGGGTTTGCGGAAACGACCAAGCATACAACTGTCCAATTCATCCACCAGTCTGTGAGAGACTATCTTCTTGAACATGAAAGTATCCAGATATTGTGGCCGGATGCACCCGAAAGGTTCAAGGGAAAAAGCCAAGAACGACTGAGTCAATGTTGCCTCGATTACTGTCACGCGATCTTCCCATTGTACTCAAGGATCGAAAAGTCTTGCCCAGCAGCAACGCAGAGGAAGGAGCCTCATCAATCGAATACACTAGGGCTTCGCTATATGCTGTCCTCGAAAGAATTTTCTTTCCTCAAATACGCTGTTCAAAATGTCTTGTACCATGCAGATGCGGCAGAAGGCGCTGGCATCGACCAAGGTCAATTTCTCGCATCTTTCCCCCTTCATCACTGGATCAAGCTGGAGAGCATCATGCCGGTAATGAGGCCCGGACACGACAATAATGCAAGTCTTTTGTACATCTTATCGGAGTACAACGCAGCGAATCTCATCAAGCGCTGTCCAGAGAATTTGAATGGTTTCAAAAAAGAAGGAGGACAATTTGGCTTACCTATTCTGGCAGCATCTGCACGTGGACATCACCGATCAGTTCTGGCGCTCATGGAGGCTCATGCTATTAACGAGCCACTTCGCGACATATGTCAACAGTACGCTCGCAGCGTTGAAACTGGGAGTATCTCATATCCAGGAAAATACTGGTCTTACTCGGAGTCCTGGAGCGTCTTTAAGATTCTGGTACTAGCTGACAACGCGCTCATACTTGATTTCGCCCTCACCTCTGGTCAGGTAACTCCAACCGCTGCCGAGTGGAACTTGTTTGGTTGTACAAACAGAACCGAAGACATGATTCAGGTGCATCGCAAGCATGGACCCTATTACCTTGGCTTTAACAAAGGCAAGCTGAAAATACAGGATTTTGAACCCTAAGGGCAGGATATTTGAGCCAAAAGGGCCGGGATGGCACCAGCAGCCGGCAAGGCGTATGCTGATCCCCTTGGATCTCTCCCGGAAAAGCACCCCACGACGTCAAGACAACAAAAAAACCACTGACACACTGCCTCGCCCTCAATTCCAATCTTTCACAACTATGGCTGAGGAACCTTGAATTCTCTCCTTCGTTATGAATGTCGACATTCCTGGCTCCCAAAAGCACCTTGCTGCATTGCCCGCCCGTTGCGCGCCTTCTTGGCCAGAACTCGGAGACGGGGAGCGGACACTATATTCTGTCGTGCCTGGAGATGATGATGATGATGATGTGTAATGTCTAAAGGCCGTGATTTGAGAGGGAGAAAGAATGAAAAAAATGTGTTTCTCTTTGCTTTGTAGTATTTTTGACTGGCTAATAATAGACGCACTGTTTCGCGTCGGCAGGCCTGTCGAAGAATGCTCTGCGATACCACCAACACTCTCTCTGCGCTGACGGCACGTTATTGGTCTCACTACTTTGTTAACTACTTGAATACATTTTACTTTAAGTACCCGGATCTCACCCGTCTGTGGCACCACCAGTATAGCCGCCGTGTTGCCTTTTACGGACATAGTAACTTGTCATTGGAGAGTAGCGATGATTCACTAAGGGAAATCGCTCCTCGGTCGAATAGCTGTAGTTTTCCTCTTCAGGTGGGATATATAGATCAAATTGCCTTGCCTCTACTCTCTCTTCTTATTTAAGCATCAACGTAGTACATAGCAGCAACGACAGGCACAGCGAACTACAATACCGCAGTGGGTGGTAAGCTGAAGAAAAGCCAGCTAAACTCGGCAAGTTTTACAACTGATTTCTTGATTTATAACTCACTATATTAACCTTAACTACGCCTCCCCGCTCAGCTTGTTCGGGGGATACCAAGTTGCCAAGTTACCCCTCATTCAGTGGGTTCCAGCTGCTTGCCACACCAGACCAATGACGTTGTCGCTGCCTCCAAAGAGGCCTCACCATACACATGCACTGGGGGCTTGGAATTTCAGCGCTTGCTAGACCAATCCAAACCATTCATCGCTTTGCCCTTTCAACCTCATTTACTTCGCCCCTTCTCCCCTGGTCCGTCCGTCCGTTCTTGTCTTTGCCATAGCTTCAGTGTGCCACGATTCTCGACCCTGCAACGCAGCACTGCCCTCACTCGTACGGTTGCGCCACTTCCACCATGGCGTCTGGACACAATGCAAGTACACGGCAACCGCGAGACTTTGTCCACAACTCGTCCCAAGCAGCTAACCATTCTATGACGATGCCCTCCAGGACCCGAAGCTGCTCTACGCCGTAAATGGCGTCAGGGCCTACCACATTTCCAATGGCGAGGAGCAGTCCCTCACGCCCGCCGGCCCGCAAACGCTGTCGCTCCTCATGGTGCCGACCTCGTCCGGCTTCGCTGACCCGTCGGGCCTCGCCAGCGGCAACGGCGAGGAGGACTTTTACCTGCACCTGCACCTCCCGCCCGAGCTCGACCTGCCCATGCCCGCCACGACGCAAATTTACCACCAGCCGCCCAGCAGCTACCTGATCCCCCGCTGGGACCTGGGCCCCGGCAGCGGCGCGTTTACCCGCCTCGAGTTTCCCGCCGCCCACAGCCGCGCCGGCGTGCAGGAGGACGTCGACACGTTTGAGACGATTCTGGCGCAGTGCACGGCGTTTCTCGAGCGCGCCACTCCGCCCGCGCCCCCGCGCTCCAAGGCCGCCGAGGCCAAGGCAAGAGAAGCGGCCGGCGACGCGCCGCCGCCGTACAACCCGGCGAGCTTCGAGGCCGGCGAGGGATATGTTCAGGGCAGCGCCAGCTCCCACGTCGGCGGCAGGATCGTGCTGGTCGACGAGGAGGATGGCAGTGTTATTGGTGAGCTGAGCGAGGGCTTCAACGTCGTCGAAGATAGTGGTGTCCGTCCTGGAACCAAGGGTAAGTTGTGAAATCCCATTTCTACGCGAGTACGAAGTTGCTAACATGCCCAAAGACCCTGTCGAAATCACCCTCCCTGGAGACGGTTCGAACAATATTTCAGTCGAGCCTGTCGAGTACGACTACATTGAGGAGTCTATCCATCCCGCCTACAGAAAGTCGTCGCTTGTGAGCGGCGCGACTCGCGCATCGCGGCTGCTCATCACAACCTCGGACTACGTCGGCAAGATGCTGCAGAACCAGGCCGACAGCTTCACGCACAAGACGGAGCCCGTCGCGAACCCCGTGACCTTTACGCCCGCCACGCACGAGCGCATCCGCCGCATCAACCACTTCTCCTCCAAGGCTGCCGGTCTGTCCTCCTCCACCGTCGGCTCCATCAGCAAGGTCACGCAGAACCTCGCCTCCAACATCCGCCGCAAGGACGGCAGAGCCCGCGGCTACGACAAGGACGGCAACCTGGTGGAGAGCTACAAGCCCGGTATCCTCAACAAGAGCCTCATGGCCTTCAACACCATTGTCGACGGCGCAGAGCATGCTGGCAAGTCGCTGCTCAACTCCACCTCGAGCAGCGTCTCGACTGTGGTCGGCCACCGCTGGGGCCCCGACGCGGGCGAGGCCGCGCGAAATATCGGCGGCGGCTTCAAGAATGTTGGCCTCGTCTACATTGACGTTACTGGCGTTTCGAGACGCGCCATTCTTAAGAGTGTCGCCAAGGGCATGCTGGTCGGCCAGGTCAAGGATGGCGGCAAGGTCTATGTCGGCGCCGACGACACCGCTTCAGTACATGGAGCCAATGGTCCCGGAAAAGCGGCAGCGGCGGCTGCTCATGCTGACTCCAAGGGCAAGAAGGCGTCGAAATAATCTCGAGTCAACGTAGTGCTGCCTTGGTAGTTGTGTTCAGCCTTCAACGCCGCAGGTGCGTATACCTGCCTCAGAAAATCAGCTCAGAATAGTATAGGATTCGATTCAACGATATGATAATGAATATGATTTTTTTTTCTAGATTGGTCAATCCCGTCGTTGTGAGTGCAATGTAGTAGCTTTGTAAATTATCACGTGGAGGCGCGGGGCAACTGGCGGCGCGTCGCGTCTCCCAAACGAATTTCTCAACAAAATCGAGAGCTAGACCACACGACCCGAGAAACGAGAAGCACGACGCCGAAATTACACCTAGAACATTGCAAGTGAGGTAAAACACTGTTCATGCGCAACGAAATTTACCGCGCAGCTGCGCCTCGCTCTCTGCAGCATCGGCGTGCATCCTGATCTTGCCCCCCCGCCAAACTGCATCTTGCTTGTCCCAAGAGCTTAACCACAACAGTGTACTTTACAGCGCTCCCCCTCTATCATGACCTCTGCTAACACCCCAGTCAGTATATACTCAACCATGCTTCACGAAATCCTCCTCTCGCTCTCCGGGCACCCCTCGCCGCTCCTCACCGCCGAGCTCTCCGACAGCAGCGCGTCGTCGGCGCTCTCGCCTTCGGAGCGGCAGCTGCTGGCCTCGGCCGCGCACCTGTCGGACCTGCACGTCAAGCTCGCGGCGCACGCGGCGCGCATCACGGCCGCGCACCCGTCGACCGTGTGCCGCGCCGTCGCCACGGCCATCCAGACGGTGCACCTCGCCGCGCTGCGCCGCCGCGTGCTCGACGTCGAGGCGCG